ATGCTTGCTCTGCTCGCTGCCACACTGATGATGGATTTTTATATTCTTCTCTTAACAGGAGAGGATTTGTGAATTAAGCACACACTCAGGGCCCCAGCAAGGTCGTACCACAGGACTCTGAACTACAGCTGCTTTTGAAAGAGAAACTCGCTGCCGATCAGTCCAACCCTCACACACACTTCTACAAACACAGCATTTTGGGGCCGTTTCGGGAGACAAAAGAACTGTTTGACTTCAAGGTTAATTCGAAGTTTTCAAGTAGGCATCTCAGCGTGTGACCAGTGTCTGTTCTGAGTGATTTAGCCTAAGGCTACCCTAAGGTGGTGGCTCCTTTTTTAGAACACAAGAAAATAAATGTATTGGTCTTCCAAAAAAGCTTTGTGCAAACCCTGTGGGACACTTCCCAGCCAGGACATCTTGGAGTGTCTCTCAAGTCAGTGCCCATTCGTGTCATGCTGGTTGAGCTGTGGATGTGCAGCCTGTGACACTTGCAGCAATCTCTGACCCCAGCCTGTATCTTAGCCAGAGTTTGCATCACCCATTAACGTTTTTCATACCTTTTGCTTTACCTGCACCTCTGAGTTCATTTATTTTTATGTCTTCATAAATCAAACAACACAGCTCATTGCTATGATTATATTGAAATAAAGCCCTCTCTTTTATCACAGCACTTTGCTTGCCCTCCACCTCTGGTTCTCAGCAGGTTCTCAGATGCCTTGTTAAGACCTTCAAAGCCTCACAGCATACTCTGAGAAGAATGCATCTGTCCTGAGGCTTCGAGAAACTAATTCTGCAATAGTATAATTTATGAAACTCAGCATCCTTTTTTTCCTTTCCATGCAAAGCTGAACAGGAACTAGGGCTGCTGAGTTAATCTGGAAGTTTATATGTCACACTGCTTATAATCTGACCTGTAGCTGCTTCTTTGTACTTCATGTTGAATTATCCTTTCAGGGCTAGATCCTCACCTGGTCTTTTCCCCACAGATAAACCATTCCAGTGAGGCTGGCTGTAAATAAAGGCAAATTCATCCCTTTCTTTCTAGACACAAAAACAAGTGTAACTTGGTGTATCTGACTTTTTTCTTTGATTTTTATTTCTCCAATCCTTTACATAGTCATTATAGATGTTAAGAAGCCTGTTTTGGAAATGATTAATGCTATTAATAATTTTCTAATTCAATAAAACCTCTCATCTTTGAACTCCCAGCAATATTTTCTGCTTTCTTCAGCTTTTCACTAATTCAAACATATGACAAATACAACTCTTCCTTTCAGTTTTCTATTATTTCTCATGTCTGATCAAATAAATTAACAGACTTTCATTTCTTTCCCAGGAGTCATACCCATATGTTGGTGAAGACAGCATAAAAATATTACCTGTTCAAACTGGAGGGGGGAAAAGAAGGATAAAAGTTATCTTTTATTCACAGTTCCAAGCAAACTGCTGGTCCCATTCACCTTGACATCACCTGCTTTGCTAACCATAAATATTGCAAGGTTTGCAGAGCACCCATTGGTCTGGTTTAGCTGCACTGGGTTATAATGTCCCCTCTCAATGCCTCCAATGGAGCAGCAGTTATTTTAATCACACCAGCCACGGCACTTCAGTCCCTGGGAAGAATCAGCTGTCCTGTCAGATGTGGCTGCTCCACAGCCAGGCAGCCCCAGCCCACAGAGCAGCATCCTGCTAATGCCCTTTGCTGTGTTTGGGCAGGTAAAGATCCCTCTGCAGGCCAATTTGTACCTGTGTATTGTTGATAGACAGCGTGCCTCGGGCACAGAGATACTGCATGCAGGAAATGGACTCTCATTTAACCGTGGTTAATTTTGTTCTCTGCATCTCCATCATCCATCTTTCCATTTCTCTGCCCACCCAAATTGCTAATGCGAAACAAAGCTACTTCAGCCACCAGAGCTCCTAAACTGATGTGTGACGATGCAATGATTGATTTCCCACTCCAGGAAAAGTGGGTCATTGTACATGTTGTACCACAGCAGGCTGAACCAAGCTGGTCGTGCTGACATTGGGCTTTTACAGATTTGTTTTAAGAAGTTCAGACCTGAGGCGACTACTGTGAATATCCAGCCCGAACACCTCTGGTTTTTGATGGGAGCTCTGCCATTCTAAAATCTTCCTTAGCAGCTTAGAGAGATCTGAAGTCATCTGTGCTCCTCAGGAGACAGAATTCAGAACACTGATTATGCATTTTATATCTTACTTTCATGTTTGGGCCAAGAATAGAAAATGCAAAATTCCTCCAATTCCTAGATATGGGTCCAGTTTCAGGTTTGTCATTTTCCAGGAGAGAAAACCCTAAACTAATTTAAAAATATGTTTTAAATCTAAAATGGTGCAATTAACAGCTTTTGCAAAGGATTTTGAATTAGAGAGAAAAAACTAATTCAAACTGCTCTTTGAAAAAAAAATCCACTGCTTTTACTCTTCTTTTGTGATATTGCAATAGTGTGTAATAACTTTTCTCATGTAATGAGACTTGTTGAAACCCACTTTTAGATTGAAACACCTTAAGATTGCCTCTTGCAATACCAGGGAGACATCACTTGAAGAGGCAAGTCTCAGTATTGGTGTAGAACCTGCCTCTCTATCTGCTGAAATAGAACAGCAAAGTTGCAATCAATTGCTGAAAGGGGAATATTTTTCAGGTTTTTCTGAATAGCCCAATAAGTAACGGAGCCCAGATGTCATGGCAGAATCTGAAAGGTCAAGGCAGGTGGGGATTTGATTTTGATTTTCATCGAAGAAAAAACATCTAGAAAATTTAGCTCTTAACATTGTATCTTTGTTTTTTATGAGAGTTGAAACCATATTCTGGGAAATGATTTAATGGACAAGTTGGAAGAGCCTTTCTCCAGGGCCTATAAATTTTTGCTTTGCTTTAGACAAATCCTTACACGAGTACCTTCCCTAATTTTTGCACGCCCCAATGGGTAGTGTCCTCAAAGGCAGAGAATATCTAATCAGGTCCTTAAATCCTTAGACATGAAAAATCCCCACTGGGATGAGCAGTTTTGGCCAATAAGGACTGCACTTTTAACTTCCAACCGTGATTTTTGGCAGTCATGACCTGGAATGTGGAGAGAAAGTCAAAGAAAAGGCTACACGTGTCTCCTGATGAGGGGCTCTTTGGATGCAGCATAATCCACTGCCTTGGCATCTTGTGATGAGTGGTGTAAACTTGGATGGACACAAAACCACTTGCAGACAGTGCTAATTACCTGAGGGCACTGCTCTAGTGACCCCTGAGCTGAGGAAGGGGGAGAGAAAATCACTGCCATTCCACAAATGACTTCTGAATTTTCCTACTCCCTTCTTCCTCCTGCCGACCATCTCCTCTGCTCTGGAAACACCACAAATGTGGAAGGTTTGCAGGTAAGCAAAGAGGAGCAGAGTAACTGACAGAGCCAGGGCTGAGCACACTACTCGCTGATAAACCTGGCCAAACCCTTTCCTTTCTGAAACAGAATCCCTGGAATGGATGTAATTAACAAAGAAACAGACAAAAACTACCACTGAATGAAATTTAAGCATCAGCAGACCACAGCACAGCCAGGAAATACCAAGTACAAGCAACCATCCCTTCATCCTGAATTCACACCATTTTCTGCTTCTGTTTCCTGTGCAAAATTATCACTCATTCAGAAAGTGCTGCCGGGGGGGTGTGGGGGGTGGATGCAGACTGGCTTGGGACAGCCTTCATCTGACTGTGCAGAAACACCAAACAATTATCTCATTTTGAGGTGGCTCTCTGGAAATATGTGGTATAATGCACAATAGTGGGGGAAAAATAGCAGTTTTGTGGGATGCTTCCAGCAATACCCAGAATGATGCGTATTACTGGGGGAGGAAAAAATCTATGTGATTTTAGGGGTAGTGGGGGTGGAGGTGTCTTTTGCAGTACCCAAAAAGATACGTACCACCGGAGAAGAACAAAATCTGTATGATTTCCATGAGGATTTCTGGAAATACCCGGCACGGCACTGGGCTGTGTGATTCTGTGGGGGACAGATTCGAAGGGGATGGGAAACCGCGTGGGTTTGGGGCGGGGAGGGGGGCCGGGCCCCTCTGACAGCACCCCGAGTGATGCGCACAAGTAGCGGGGGGCCCACGAAGGACAGAACCCCCTCGCAGCCCGCACCGGGGGGCGGCAGAACGAGACAAGGAACTCCCGGCAGACACCGCCGGGGCGAGAGCGCGGAGCCCGAAACTGCGAACGGCGAATTTCCGCGGCTCGGTGACACACCGGCCCCAAACCCCGCCGCTGCCGGCGGCGTCCTGCACAGATACGCGCACACAGGCGGCAGCGGGAGCGTGCGCGGGAGCGTGCACACGAGCGCGCCCCCGCCCCGCCGCCGCGGCCGCTTTAAGGGCGGCGGGGGCGCGCCGCCGGGGCGCCCGGCGCGCCGCCGCCTCTCCTCGCCTCGCCTCGCCGCCGCGCCGCGCTCTCTCTCTCTCCCTCTCTCTCCCTCGCCCCGCTTTAAAGTCTCCGCCAGGATCCGGGCTCGCCCGCCACTTCCTGTACGGCAGGATGGAGCGCGCCGGGGCCCCGGCTGACCGCCGCCCGCCCGCCCGTGCGCGGAGGCGGCTGTGAGCGCCCCGTCCGTCCGCGGCATGCGCGCCCCGCCGCTGCTGCCCGCCTGAGCCGCGCCGCCCCGCGCCCGCCGAGCCGCGCGGGGGGGTCCCCGCGCCCCGCCGGCGCTCGACTTCGTCCTCCCCCTGCCCCGCGCTTGGGGCGAATTTTTTTTTTTCCCCGTAGAGGAGGCGAGCAGGAGCCCCCCGCTTTCTCCCGCAGGAACAGGGGTGCGGGGAGAAACTTATTTTCAACAAGTTTTTTTTTTTTTTTTGTCCCCCTCCCCCCCCCCCTTTTTTTTTTTCCTCCCCCTGTGTGTTAATTATTTTAGCCCCTTTCCCCTTTCGATGTGCGGCTTTGGACATGCGGAGGCTACTGCAACCGTGTTGGTGGATCTTTTTCTTGAAAATCACCAGCTCCGTGCTCCATGATGTGGTGTGCTTCCCCGGTGAGTGAGCGCGGCGGCTGGGGGGGCTCCCGGTACCTCGTCCACACGTGTCCGCGACCCCCGTGGGGAGCCGGCGGGGCGCCCCGCGGGCGCGGAGGATGCGCGGGGGGTCGCGGGGGCCCCTTTGCCGGGGCGGCCCCAGCGTTGGGTCTCCTCCCGCTCCGCAGCACTCTCCCGGCTGCGGGCAGCGCTGCCCGCGAGTGGGGCCGTGAGCGGAGCTCGGGCTGGGCTCCGCGCTCCCGGCGCGGTGTCCCCGCTCTCCGGTGCATTGCAGCGCCCGGCGGCGCGGGGCCGGGGGGGGTCCTTGCGCGCTGCTCTTCTTTCGTGGGGCTGCCTGGAGCTCCCTTTGTGCTGCGGGACCGCCGCTCGCCGCCCCGAAAGGCAGCGTGACTCCGCGCTCCGACCCCGCGCCGCAGCCCCCCGGTTCCCCCGCCAGAAACTTCGCGCTGCGCGGGTCCCTGCCCTCCCCACGCCACTCGTGTCCCTGGTGGGGGTCTCGCCGTGCCGCGTGCTGACCTTGGCAGCGCGGGGGGCAGTCCCGCGGGGCTGCGCGCCCGCTGCGCACCGGGGCTGGGGCTGTGCAGGCAGCACCGCGCACCCGCGGCAGAGGGGCTCCGCGGGCGGGGGGCACTCGGCGACCGCCCTACAGTTCTCCCCCCACTTCGAGCCCCGCGGCCGGCGCCTGCGTATCGCTTCTCGCCCCGTGTCGCACGGCGGGGCTCGCGTGTTTGGGGGCCGGGTGCGCGCTCTCCCGCCCCGCAGTGCCCCGCGCTGGGACGCGCGGTCCCGCCGCTGCCCCGGCCCGGGGGAACTCGCGGGGCTCGGGCTCCCTCCCGCCGCCTCCGCAGTGCCCGCGCTGCCCGCCAGGGGCGCTGTGGGGCCGCCGGCGCCCCCGCGGGGCGCGCTTCTCCGCCGGCGCGCAGCGCGAGCCCCGCCCGGCGCGCTCCCGCCCCGCGCGCGCTCCCGCCCGGAGCCCCGAGGGATGGCGGGGGTGCGGATGTGCCCGGGGCTCCCTCCCTGCCGGCGGGGATGGGGCTCCGGGGGCAGCGCGAGCCCCTCTTCCAGGGATCTGCCCCCTTCCCGGGCTTCTCCCGTCCTTGCCGTGGGCTCCTGAGGCTGCCCTGCCTGTTGGCCCCGGCCAGGTGTGCAAGAGTCTAATGAAATAATTAAATTCTGGAGGTTCTGTAGGAACTTTCACTTAGGCGTTCTCATTTTTTTCCATTAAAAAAATAAATTTCTTCCTGGAATGCCCTTTTTTCCTAACACCAAATGCAGAGCTAAGCAGATAGACCCATCCCATTCCTTCCAGTAGCTTCTCACATGGTAAAATGATTTGAAGCAAAAAGAAACTAAGTTGGGGAGAGGGTTAATACCTCTGCAGCTTTTGACGAAACATTTATCTTCTCTGTATTGATTTCTTCTCAATTTCAGCCTTTGGAGTGATGCCTTTCTCTCTGGTTCTGATATATATTGTATAGTAATTACATCTAGAAGGCAGGCTCCAGGAATGCTGCAGGAAAACAAGCCCTGATGTTGGTTTAATATGACAGTATTGTATGACTTGCTGATTTAGATCAGCGGTGTTTGAACCAGATAATATTTGCATTATGGAATATGAAGATGGATGCAAGCAGAGGGTAACAGGACGCTTGCAGAGTGTTGGTAAACTCTTTAATGCCAGGAGCCATAAAACAGCTGTGTAATACTCGGGAATGTTTCAGGGCTCTTCCTTGCTAAAGCTTTGCCTGGAAAGCAAACTATTTTCCAGAAAGGCTTTTATGCCTTTGGTTTTTGTACCGAGCTACCATGTTAGACCCCGGTGCCTGCTCGCTCCCTGAGCTTTCCTCTGACGAGCAGCGGTACCTGGTGTGCAGCGAGGGCTGGGACTGAGACATCCGAGAAACCGGAGCCTCCGACTCCGATCCCGCTCAGCAGAGATGCCCGAGGCAGGGAAGCTGCAGGGAGGATCTCTGTGGGCTATAACAGGACATTGGTGCTGACAACATCCAATGGCAAATCATCGGAATTTGTGTTGGCAGGGAATCCCGGCCAGATATTAACCATTTAGTATCTACCACGAATGCTTCTGTACCTTTTCATAGCGTTTTCTAGAGAGGATTAAAGAAGTAAGGTATTTGTCAGCTTGGTTTCAATTTGTAAGCATCCTTCTTCCCTCTGTTTCATATCTAGCTCCCTTTAAATGGAAGAGAGGTCACTGCTTGTTTTCTCCCCTGCAAATCACTTTACTTTGTGAGGAAACATAAAGGCTATTCTTTTCTTTGTTCAGTAACAATAAATGAACCGTGTAGAAAATAAGTCTTTGCAGTATTTCTTTGTTAGTGGTGTTGTAACAGGGTTTCACTGTTTAAGTAGGTATTTTTGTTGCTGTTCCTTTGGTTGCAGTAAGAGAAAGGAGTCACTCTGGCAAAAAAAAATATGTGGGTAAGGTTTTCCTCTTTCTGAACTGTTTAGTGCATTTCTCTGTGGGCTTGTCACTGGTAATTGCATTGGTTAATAAATCAAACCAGGACAAGGTAAGAGAGGTTGTTTCCATGGGGTCTGTTTGCTCATTAATCTAAATTCACAGTACCAAACATCAGTAAGACATAAATATTAGTGTTAAGGCAATATTCTTACTATCTGATTTCTTGGTGCTTTGCCAAGAGAGAGTGAATTTTTTTCTTTTTGAAGTAAAAGGTACACATTTGTGCAGTTCTTAGCTCTTTGACATTCTTGTCATCTAAGGAATGACAATTGCTGCCATTATCTTAGGCTAGATGCATAAATAACAGTAATTTTCTTGAGTCTGGATTAGCTCTTTGGTAATGAATCAAATTACTGCTAACCTGGTAACTGCCTAAATGGGATTTTGGATTTTGAATCTTCACAGATCTGAGCTGAGAGTTAATTTTGCATGTAACTGTCTTCTGCTTGGAGGAAAATTATACTGGGAGCTATGCCTTATGAAGTAAGTAAATACTACTTCAGAGATTTCTAAAGGTACAGAGCAGACTGGCTTTGTCTAGTGAAGGTTTTACAGAGGAAGGTGCATTGTGCACGTAGAGAAATACGGAATGTACAGGAGAGGGCCCTCCAAGACTTTATTTAGTCCTGTGGCTCTTATGAAGATGACACTTCGTACATTTTAATTATCCCTTATTTTCAGTGCTGTTTCAAAATATGTTACAGGAAGTTGCTAATGGAGTCCTTGCAGATAAAGATGGTCAAGTGAGCCTTCCCAGGCTGCAAGAGCTGAGCTTGTGGTTTGGTTTTGGTGGGGGAGCTCCAGGGAGAGCTTTGCTGTCCCTTAGCAGGCTTGTGGTTAACAGGGCCTGGACCCAGCTTGCAAAAGTTTTCAAGTGGTCACAGGAGCTGTCTGTGCTGGCAGCCAGAGAAGAGCTTCCTAAAGCTGGGAGGGAGGAAGAGGCATCACAGAAGAAAAGGATTTTAATACATTCAAAAAAAAAGCAAGGAACACAGTTTGAGGGTAACTGGAATTTCCTCACTGATATTGCAATACCTACAAAGCCTGTGTCCAGGCTGGGGATGTTGCTCTGCTTGGAAGAACAAGGAGGATTTTTTGCCTGTGTGTGTGAGTTAGGATTTCTTTTATTGCTCTCTTATCCCCTATACCCTCTATTTTTTGTCTAGGAAAGGAGGATGTGAGGGGTTCTGATCCTGTTCAGGAAAGGGGTGTCTTAGAGCAGTGATGGGCTTCTGTGAGTCAAGCAGAGATGTCGTGTCCTTCACCCATCCCATCTGCATCCACACTGGAAATCATGGTGGAACAAATAGATCCTGCTTGGTGCCATAAAAAATCCCTGGAAATCACCTATTGATTGAGTAGGGTGATGGTTTCACTCCCAGTTTCTGGGTCTTTGCAGGGACAAGTGTTGGCTGCACTGTTGTCAAGTTCTGTAAGTTTAATAGTTGGAATTTGTTTCCAATTACAGCAAAGACAGCTAACAGCTCTATCCATCTTATAATCAGGGCTCAAGGACTAACATACTTACACTTTTCTGAAATAAATGTTATTACAGTTGACTCTTAATTTAAATGTTCAAGTTTCATGGTTAAATTAAGGAATGACTTCAAACTATTAATCTCAACTGTCCTTGGAAAAAAGTGCTAATCATTTGGTTGCTGCTTTTTAGCAGCCAAATGAACATGTGGCATGATGTGCTCTGAAGCCTAAGGGTCTAGTAATAACACTGTATTTTAGCTAATATATAACTTTAATCAGAGAAATTATGAAAAAAAGAGCCCAATTTCTTTTTCCCCAAGTTATTGTGCTTCCATTTTTATAGAGCTGTTCTTGTGTGTTGATGAAACTGTAGTTATTTATGTTTATGTGCCATACTACCTCCAGTTTTATTCTAAACAACAATTCTTAAGTATTTTAGGAAGTGAGGCTTGTCAGACAAATGTTTTTTAAAAATATGGAGTCATCTGAGGATTTAGCTATGCACTATATGAGTTAATTTATGGTTTATATATTCCTTCTGGGGACTGCTTGCTGCTTTAGGTGTCTAAATATCAAGTTTTTCCTTCTTCATGAGGTAAACTTATGTCAGTGTTTCCTCCAAGTGAAAATTGTGGATCTGCATTTTCTTGCACAGGTTGATGGGAACATAACTTCACAGATTGCCAGGTACAGCCCAGTTCCACCAGGGAGTATCAGTTTTGTGAACACATGCATGGGTTGGAAGCAAAGCAGAGAAGGAAGATGTGCATTAATGCTCCCTTTCATCCTGAGCAGAAGGGCCTGGGGTGTGGCCAGCTGGAGGTGCCCAGCTAGAGAATAACTCTTGATGAAAGCAGCTAGTTTGCACATTTGCGTGTCCATAAACCTTTAGAGGAAAAAGAAAAGCACAGAAGAATGATCCTTGAGTGCTGTTAATTTTTCCATTCCTCAGAATCGTGCCCTGATGATCATGTTATCTGTTTTGCAGGGTACAGATTACTTGCCCCAGGGCAAGTCAAATCGGTTTCTTCCTTTCAGTGCTGCTCACAGGTCCTGCAGTGCTCCAAGATGATCTCAGCCCTCTTCACTGAGGACAGGCTGCTCTTGAATGAATCTGGGCTGCACTGGTTGTGTCTCCAAATGCTTGCATTTCAATGTGCTCTCATCTTCTTGAGGCACAGCTGCCAGGACACAGCAGATTCCAGTTTTATGCCTTGAGCTGTCACATATTTGTGGCCTAAGCAGAATCTCTTCCCACCCTGAAAGTGAACAGATGAATTAGGGAGCAGATTGCAAGCACAGCAATGATGCTGCTGAGATACTCCATGGATATTGCTGTTCTTGTCTCATTTTTCCTTTCCCCTGATCTTAGTGGTGGGAATAAAATCCCTGCTTTGGAGGAGGAGGAGGAGGAGTGAAGGCACAGACAGGGCACTAAGGGAGCTCAAGAGTTCATGCAGTCACTGTGTTTTCTACGCTGAATGGCTCACTTTACAGCAATTTGAATTAGTATTCAAGTGAACTATGGTTAAAGTAAAACAGTTACTGTATGGCCTTCTGTTTTTTTTCATGTGGTTTTTATTATGCATCTCCAAGTTTGCTTGGGAGTTGAAATACTAGTGCTCTTAATTATCAAGTCATTTGAATAATGATGAACAATTTTCTAGAACTTAAAACATGTCTGCATCATGCACCTGCCAGCAGTACTGGCACATAAAATCTCAATTGATGTGGGTGTTGCAGTTTTTCTATGCATAAATTCTGCAGTGATGCCTGAGAGGTGTTTATCCTGTCCAGTGCCTGCTTTGAGGGACTTTGCATTCATAGTGTGGGGGCCTTTCTAAAGAAAATCTAGGTGTTTTGAGACTTGGATGCTTAGCTTAGGAAAGCTCCTTTGAAAAATCCTTTTCTCTGCTTGCAGCAATGTAATGAATGAAACCTTGAGCCCTGAAGAGCTGCAGTGGTATTTAGGAGCAAAATGCAGGATGTTATTTGGTCTTGTGGCAGCTGCTTTGTTCTTTTTTTGAAATAAAATGTGCCTGTCTCTCTGACAGAGTGCTGTTAAAAGTTCTGTTGGGAGACAATTTATTCTGCTGACAGCAAAGGAAAGCTATCTGATAACTTCTCACAGGCAAAGTGAAGAGTTGTTCAGTTTTCCCACACCTCACTCCTTCCATCTTCTGTCCTTGCAGGAGGCTTGCAAGAGGCACAGGAAATGCTGTAATACTTGCTTTAACCAAAGCAGCCCTTGCCCTTTTCTTGCTCCTATAAAAGTATCTACTTGCATTATTGCTTTTTAACAGTCTGAAGTCTTAGACCTGGAGTTCCTTGGAGAGGTGTCAGGCTCTCCAAGGAGAACCAGTGTTGGTTGTGGGAGAGGACTTCAGTGTAAGAAGTGGAGAGCACTGAATAAGCAGGAAATGATGATAATGTTGTGCCAATGCACTGTAAAAGTACATTTTCTACTGCAGAGGTAAATAAAACCATTTCTGTCCTGGCCCATGTTGATGGTCCTCAGCTGAAAGCACGTGACTTTGTTTTGGTCTGTGCATTCCTTAGGAACAAGAATGTCCCTGAAGTAGCTCCCATCACTGAGAACCACTCTCTGCCTTTGTGTCAGTTTGGTGTGCTCAGAAATGCTTCCCTGCATAATCTGCTTTCCCTTTCCCCACCTCCCCTCTCCCCTTCTGGATTTTGCAAGAATTTGGTTTGTATCTTAGTGAAGTTTGTGATGCACGCCTCAAAATAAATAGGTTTTGACAAAGAGTTTTTTAGGGCAAGTTTAGTGAATATTTTTTTTAGACATATGTTCCTATTAAACCTCTGTTTAGTGGCCTCAGTGTGAGGCTTGTGTGCAGCCATCCCTCCCCATTCCCAACCCCCTGGAAACAAGAGATACCTGGTAATTTTCAAATAATTAAGTGCAGATCT